CCTTTAAAATAGAATGGAATAAATTTATTGTTAAAATCCCACCAATTGCCCAAGAAATGCAAATTTCCTTTTTAGAATATGGCGATCCATTAACAAAGGTCCAGATTAATGCACCTCTTATAAAACAACTCTATCATACATTTACAGTGAAAACTCGACTAATGGAACAAGAACATAAAGTGAAGTCCATCAAGGCGGCGCTAGAAAGATGATGCCAAGATTATAAAGATAATCAATCAGATATGATAAATTCCTTAATTAATTGACATAAAAAAACAATTCGTTTAGACCGATGCATTGATGGATCTTTCAATAATAATGGGCTACTTATGGATCCAATCGACGTTATTAATGAAACCCAACGACATTTCCAACAAGTAACTGGCACTGTCCATCATTCCAAAGTGGTTCCAGATGATTGAATTCCTTGGTATAACCCTAAAGATGATATCGATCCACTTATCTATAGTGACCTTATGTCTGCACTGACAGAAAATGAATGGGAGACTGTGATTAATAATCTTCCCTCTAACAAAGCTCCAGAACCGTCCAAAATCAATAATGAAATGCTTAAAAACATGGGTGTACAAACAAAAAAGAAATTTTGGATTTTTATCTGCAGCTGCCTTGGAAAATCGATCCTCCCAGATGCATGGAACGTTGCATTCGTTTACCCAGTTCCTAAACCGAAACCATGGGTATACGACTTGAATAACACAAGACCTATCACTTTACTTGAATGTCCGAGAAAGGCAATGGTCAAACTTATTAATAACCGACTACTATCTATTCTATCTAGACATAACGTTTTGAAAGGATATAACTTTGCAGGACTGCCACATAGGTCGACTAAAGATCCCTTATTTATCCTTGATCATATTAAAAAAAGATGTATACTTCCATCGTAAACAACTATGGATTCTCTTTCAAGATATGTCAAAAGCATATGACAGGGTCAATCTGGAAATGCTCTATAAAGCACTTCTCAGACTACGCCTGCCCAATAATTTTATTGAATTAATATCCTCACTATTTGCCTTTAGATTCAATCAAGTTCTAACGATGCATGGTCCCACCCCTACCTACCCAGTTCTTTCTGGCATCGACCAAGGCGAAATTTTATCACCTATTTTATGGTGCATTTATTTTGACCCATTATTATGCCGAGTGCAAAATACAACTTTTGGGTATAACATGGATGTTACATTGCCATTTAACCATGGAAATGTAGGAACCCATAACTCACTGTCAGCACACGTGTCAGCTCTAGCATACATAGACAATATCCTTTGGTTGTCACAATCTAAAGAGTCTCTTAATAGCCTGCTCTGTATAGCCGACAGCTTCTATGAATTAAATTCTATCCAGG